AAAAAAACACATTCAATCAGCTGCTCAGCTGTAGAACAAAGAACATAGAACATGCACCACGACCATCCACACATGAAAATGTATACGTAAATATTCATTGATTATATATATATATGAAATTCAGATTTCCTGGCAGGCGCAGCGCTTTGTGAACTATAGTATCTATGGCATGTTCTATTTGTTGATGGTATCATACTTTGCCATGCCATGATATCATGATATGGTGATATATACAAGCTGCTGTCCAATGTTGATGATATATGATAAATGTTCTATGTTACGTGTTCACATGCAGACTCGGCCGGGTTATGTGACTTGTTCTGATTATATACTATCCTGGTATCATGAGAAAACTTTGCGCATTCATGTTTTATATATATATATATATCACCTCGCTGTTTCTAAGTTCCTTGTTCAGCAGGGTATGTCGTTTTTTCGTTGACTATACACATAAGTTGTGATGTTCTAAGAGCCCAATTTTGGGATGTTCTAAGTTCAATGTTCTTTAGATGTTCTAAGTGTACGTAAAAAAACTGACATTCCCAAAGGATGTTCTAAGTTTCACTCCATCACTATATCCATTAAACATCCTTCTATTGAGCTGCAACAGCAGTGGCCCGCGGCCCTGCCTCCTTATTTTATTAAGTAGGTGCCTACTTAATTGAGGGCATCTTAGTTCGCTCCTAGCTAGGACGCAGGATAGCTCACCAGCCGCCTGAGGGTTGGTGGGAGCTGCCTCGAAGAAGCGCTCACACTGATGATTTGGTTCCTAGGTTCTAAAGGAAACTTAAAATTGTTCGAGCACGTCGTGATGTTTCCCGGGTCCTCACACTTCCAATTACAGTAGTCCTTGCAAATGCTGCTTGCGGAGGTTAACGACACCAAACCAACTTGCACGTGATCCTTCTGCCTGCGAACTTCCAGACGCATTGTGTGTGTGTTCACCCCAGCATCCGAGCATGTGCCTCCGTCACTGGGCAAGTTGTAGTTCAACTTTGCGCTGTTCTCTGAATTTGATTGCGAGCTCCCCACAGAGTGCACACTTCTGTGCATTCTCCCTGGTGGCATGTGCTTAGAACCCTGACTTAGTTTCTCCACGTAACCAGATGGGGTTTGGTTGTTGCGTCGCAGCTGCCTGGAGAGACAGAGCGACAAGTTGCACATTCCCATTTCGCACCAGGTTCATCCATGCTCTGCAGTGGCTCCTAAACTGTTTCCATTGAGTTGAAGGTTTGTCAGGCGACAATCAAGGGGCTATGCACCACGTGAAAGCAACCCAGCTTCTGGGAGAGTCACTCAGATTAGGGTTCTGGGTACTGCCCAGCATCAATACCATGCTCCACACGACCTTGTCCTCTCTTGAAAGCAACTTTTAGCCTAGACTTTGCTTGAAGGAGTCCTTCTGCTCCAGCAGCGGCCCAGTGACATCCACCATTTCCTATCACTGCATCTTACTGTATGATGGTCGAAGGCAGAAATTGCAAATTGATTGCAATTGATTTCCATCCTGCATGTCCATGTTCTCCACCTCCATTACATAGATCCTTGGCTTTTGCTCAGATAGTCCGCTCAAGCTGCTTTTGAGGCCAACAAAGTGCGGTCCTTGAAATGAGGCCCAAAAAAGCACGCATGTCCTTGTTCTTGACTCGCCTGAAACCCACACTTTAAAGTCAGCAGCAAGTTGCAACTGCAATGCAATTTCAAAGGTCTATGCAAGTGTGCTTAACTGCAGGGTCGCAGGCCCTGCCTTGGCAATTCTGCTTGGAGCCGTTCAGCCTTTTCTTGGTTCTCGTGCTGGCGAGGCATTAAGCATTGCGTCATTGCGAAGCATGAGGCCATGCACTGTGCGCACACACACAGACACAATAAAAAGAATACACACACACACACGTCAGTGTCCACTATACACTGTGTTTCCACATCAGTGTCCGCGCTCAGCCCCATCACATGCTAAACTCTCTTGACTGCAAACAGCAGGAGCATGATGAAGCTGGGCGCACCAGCATGCCCTCCAAAACTCGGGTAGTCTCTTCTGTGCGAGCCAGCTCACTCTTGATGAACTTGAGCTGTTCCTCCACCAGTGTAATAAGCTTCAAGTTTAATGAATTATATATATCCCTCGCGCTCTTTTCCGCAGTCACAAGAACTCCCACCCCTGAGT